ATGCGGCCTCAACAAGCAGTCGCGGGAGGACATGCGCAGGGCATCGCAGCGCCCCAAGTATTCCGCCGATCGTCTCGACAATCTGCGCAAGGGCCAGGCAACTACATTGCGGCCATCGGCGCATTCGGAAGAGGCAAGCAGTGGGAGCGCGCGCTGTCGCTTCTCAGTGAGATGGCGGAAGCAGCGGTGGAGCCCAACGTCGCCAGCTGCAGCGCGGGGGTCAGCGCGTGCGGAAAGGGCGGACAGTGGCAGCGGGCGCTGTTGCTGATCGGCGAGATGCGCGAGGTGATGGTTGAGCCCAACGTCATCTCTACTACATTGCAGGGCCCAGTGCGTGCCAGAAGGGCGCAGGCCCCAATGCACCGAAACCGCCCCGGGCTGGCCCCGGGCCGCCCCGGGCCGCCCAGGCAGGCTCCAGGACACGCCGAGAGGGCCCCCAGAAGCCCCCAAGACGGCCCCGGAGAGCCCCGGCACGCTTAAAGATGGGCCCAAGACGCCCGAGATTCGCCCCAGACGGCCCAAGAGGCGTCCAAGACGCCCGAAGAGGCCTCCCAAGAGGCCTTCCAAGAGGGCCTCGAGCGACAGAAAGCGTCGATTTCTATTGTGTTTTTCTATGTTTTCGGCCTCCTCGCCTCTTCGGCTTCCCGACGCTCCAAGACGGCCCAAGAAGTCCCCCAGACCGCTCGAAGACGGCCGAAGAGGACCCCAAGAGAGCCCCAAGACGGGCCAGGAGGGCCCCAAGACGGTCCCAAGACGCCCCAGGACGGCCCCAGGACGGCCCAGGAGGCGCCCAAGACGGCCCAAGAGGCACCCAAGACGGCCCCAGGAGCGGCCCAAGACGGCCCAAGACAGCCCAAGAGGCGCCGAGGCGGGCCTCAGACGGCCCCAAGACGGCCCAAGAGGCACCCAAGACGGCCCGAGAGGGCCCTAAGAGCCCCCCCGGGAGGCCCAAAAGAAGGCCGAAGAGAAGCCTTCAGTGGCTTCAGAATTCCCTTCAGGAGCGGGGGAGCGGACGAGAGGCGACAGGCATATCGCAGGCAAAAACGCCCCAAGAGATCCCCAAACGGCCCCCACGAAGCCCTAAGTGGAAAGCCAAGCTGGAGCCCGACGCCATCATGATTGCCTTTCGGCCCTGCAGCCGCACCCCCCCGCGCTTGCCCAGAGACCCCTCGCCACGTCGAGCTGATGTCGTGGACGGAGTCCACAGGTCTGCCCTAGTCAGCTACAACGCTGGGATCAGCGCGTGTGAGAAAGGCGGGCAGTGGCAGCAGGCTCTCTCGTTGCTCAGCGAGATGTGGCTGACGACGTTGGAGCCCGACGTTACCCCTACAGTCGCCCCCCTTGCTGCGATGAAATGATCTCCCAAGGATGCCCTTGCATCTTTGCCTCTTTCGGCCCATCGCGTCTATTTGGTTGGCCAGCCCTGGCCCCCAAGACACGCTGCAGCCTTGACGCCCTACACCCGTCAGACCTCTTGAGAGAAAAAAGCCTCAACTTTCATGGACTCCAGGTGTAGAATACGAATCGGATTGGACCCAAGAATCTGGATTGGACTCTGGGCGTAGCTTTCGTTGAATTCTCGTGAATATGGACCTAGACTTTAAGACAACGCTTGGGGCGAAGACCATCCAACAATTTTGGTATTCCAAGCAAGTGTGTTGGGTCCTGCATCATTGCCGTTGTGCCCTCGTGTTGTGCGGCTACCGTTCTGACATTCCTGGCCGTGCGTGCCTCCATGAGGGAGCTGGTGCTGGCCCCTCAACCCTCGCTCCCGTCCCGAGGTGGCCTCAAGACGGGCGCGGGGCTGGTCCTAGACCGCCCCCAGACCTGCCCAATGCGTCCTCTGTCCCATCTCTTCCTCCTCCTCGTGCCTCCTTCCTTCTCCTCCTGATCCTGTGTCCGTTGGCAGAATGTTGCTCATCATCCTCCGTGGCCGTGGCGGAACCACTGGCCAGGATGGCCCCAGGGGCAGAGCAGCCACCTCGACAGGCGGCTCCACGACAGACGGGCCCAAGCATCCTAGCACTCTCCCACAATTCCCAAGAATCTCCCCAACAGGCCCCCGCGGGACTCTAAAGAAATTGTCATTTGGTTGCGAAAGGTTGACCTGAGGATTCTTTGTTGACGGCTCCCCCTCGCAATCTCGAGCCCGACAAGCCCAAACCAGTCTCACAATGAGTAATTATGACGGGATGGTTCCAAGAACAGCCTTTGATTGCCCCACCGTGGACCAGCAGGGACCAGGACGGCAAAGACAGCCACCAGAACGCCCCTGGAGGCTCCGAGCGCATTTCTTCATTTCTCGACGACAGCGCGTGGCATTACTGGGTGGTGGGGTGGGTCCGGAGGGCACCTGCTTGGGCGTCATGTTTCATGTGGTCGGCTGATGGTGTCCAGTACAGAGAACGATTGCTTGGTGCGACTAGCGTGCGCGCAAACTAGACAACAGTTCATGGGTGTCGCTCGCGAATAGTCTCCAGCATTCAAAGCTCAGGTCGGTTGTGGGCGTCGCAAGGCTCCAACGAACGAGCTCTCGCTTGGTGTGGCTGACGCGTGGCTTTCAGTTTTGATAGCTCGCGCTGGGAGTCGGCAGATTGGCCAGGTACGCTCAGTTTTGGACAGCTCCCGCCGAGCACCAGGCATAACTTCAGGTTGGACTCTGTCGAGCCTTTCCGAAACTAGTGAGGCAAAGGAGCTTTGACACCACAAGAGATTGGGAGATTGGGCCAATCTGATCCGAGTAGAGGGGGGAGGATGATCAGAATGAGCAGGACGCGCACGGATTAGACGAGAGTGATGAGGGGAGTCAGGAGGAATGGGCTCTTTTGCTCACAGAACCGGGTTGAGAGGTCACATGATATTTGTGGTTCTATTCGTGGTCTTCAAAGCCAGTCTGGTACTGGTAGGCAGTGTCGCATTATGCGCTCTATTCGCAACATTTTTAAACCATAGCGCCCTGACTGTAGTGCTCATGGGCAGTGTGGCGCTCACTGGCGTTGTGGCGCATAGAGGACGCTTGTTCACATCCAGAATGCACAATGTCAATGACAATCGCTGCTGTCTGGAGCACGGACTCGAGCGAAGACATTCGTGTCAGATGGGGTTGATACGTTGAGCTTCGTGTTGAGTATTTTTAATACCAGTCGCGTCGAATGCTCACAGTAACGTCAAGGGGCCAGCGAAAGCTCTTGCCCGTATCGCTTCAGCTCATCTTAAGCAAACGGTGAGCCCAATGGACTTTAACCAATGTGTGTAGATCCTAGATGAGGATGAGGAGGATGAGGAGGACGAGGAAGGGGATGAGGATAGGAGGGGTAGGCGCAATTCTACTGGCCGAACCGCGGAGGGAAGCCGCGTGGCAGGACTGGGGGCTTGGAGGGAACGGTTGTGCCCCCCAAACGCAGCGCTTACGTGCGCCGCTGTACTCATGGGCACCGTGGTGGTCACAGCGCCTGTGGTCTTCTCACAGGCGCAGTGCTGCTTACAATCATGGGTCTTGCTTGGCGTTGCAGAGGTCACAATCATCGCCCCTCTCGAAAACCTCCAATGTCAACAGGCAGTGTAGTGTTCACAGGCCCCGCTGCGTTCGTAGGCCTTGCGGTGTTCGTGCGCATGGTGACGCTCACTGGTTTGTAATTCGCGTGGGAGCCGATGCACTTATGATCATTGTGGCGATCATGGGCATCCTCGCGCTCGTTTGGGCTCTTGCCCGCGAGTGCGAGCGGAGACCGGGACGTTCCCGCTGGGGACGGATGGCTTGCATTGGTGATGGGCGTATCTGCAGTTTGGCTTCGAGCGGGCCCAGGCATCTTTGAGAGGGCTGTCCTCCAAGAGCCGCCCAGACGACCCGAATCACTCCCAGACAGGGGGACCCTAGATCCCAAGACCCCGGCAATACCCCCAATGTCAATGTGTACCCCCACCAGCTCACCCAAAAGCCCACCGAGATGCCCCGAGCACTCGTCGGTGGCACTTGCTGGTGGCACGCGTCACCGTGAAGTGATAAGCTATGAGTCTTACCGCATGCTGCATACCAAAATCTGGCCAATGCCGCCAAGACTCAAAGAAGAAAATTATCCCAGTGCGGCCCTACCTAGGAGTTGGAGCCTCTAGGAAAGCAACATTACTAGGAGCGGTAAACGCCGTCCTCCTCCTTCTCCTCATCGTCGTAGTTGTAACAGTAGCGGTAGTAGTAGCATGGAACATATGTGCGCACACACATATCTATACAGTACATCTTTATATATATATATAGATATAGCCGCCATACTGGTTTAGACCTTCGGCCAGGCGGCCAAAGCTGTGCCCATGCGGCACGTCCGACCACCCTACCAAGGCTTTCTCAAAAGCTGCAGGTGGCCATGCGGGCGATGAGGACCGCCTTGCTGGCGGCGATCACCCAGGGCGTGGCGGCGCAGTCGGCGGAGACCGAGGCTGCGCCTGTGCGCAGGGCCTCGTGGAGGTTTCTGCACTACAACCCGCTGACGGCGCGCGAGACGGAGAGGTTGGACGACATAGAGACCGCCTGCGAGGGCTACGACTTCGTCGGCCTGATAGGCACACAGCGTCGGTGCGACCTACCACTTCAGCAACAGCGAGCTGGAGAGCGATGGCGCATTGAGAGTGGATGGAAACGAGCCAGCTACAGCAACAAGTCTGCAGGTGTGCTCTTCAGTTTCGGCAACAAATTCAAACCTCGACACCTACGACGGGCGATGGCGGCACCAGAACAGTGCGCAGGACGGGGCCTAGCAGTGCGACTGGCATCAAGACAGTTCGACTTCACGCTGATAGGCCTCTATGTGCCGCCACGACCGACCAAGTTGGAAACCCGATCGACATATGAGAAATGCGTTGACATGTTGATGGATTGGCTGCAGGAAGTCTTACAACAAACCCCGAGCCGAAACTCCCCCATCATTTGCTTGGACCTCAACGACGGCATGGGCCAAACGGTCACGGAGAACGGCAAGGGGACGGAGTTCAGGGACAGCACGGCTATTCACCGCCCAGGGTCGCGACGAGAACACTATGCTGGACGCAGATTTCGGGAGATCCTGGAAGGACACCACATGGTGGCCACGACTATGCAGAAGGCTGACGACACCTGGTACGGTAACTGCGATAACTCGTCGCTCGTGGACTACATCTGCATACCGACGGCGCTGGAAAAATGGGAGACAAGTTGCGGACCGTTGGCGAGGCTTGGCAGAGCAATGCAGAAGATACCGAGCAAACAGCGACGAGATCATTTGCCAGTACATGTTAACCTTTGCATGCCCTCTATCAGCGAGCAGCGCAAGCAGGACAACTCACCAAAGTGGAATGCGGAAACCATGATGCAGGCGTACGTGGGCATGGACATGGAGCGCAAGCGGGCCTTCGTTGAGGACATGGAGGCCACGCTTGACCAGAACTGGGACGAGCTGCTGGACTTGGCCAATCGTACGTCGGCGGATTACCTCTTCGAAAAGACGGAGCAGTTATTAATTGAAGTTGGACAACAATATTTCTCACGGGAACCTGAGCGAGATGAACGATATCAAGCCCTAAGGGAGAGACGCATGATTTTACTCAAAGCACGACGCGGCTTTAGACTTCGGCATGATGAGAGCTCGGAAATGGAAGAACACGAAGTGGTGGAGGGACTCAAAAAACTTTCGGCTTACATGAAGAAGGAGCGAGAAATTGAGTGGAAAGCTTACCAGGAGGACCTGCTGGACCAGATATGGGCACATTGGCGCGTTCGTAATATGGCAGAAGTACACAGACTTACACGGAGAGCGGCGAACACCAAGTACGGCGTAAAAAAGAGACATTTCCTGACGGTAAAGGCCCTGGGACTTACAGCAGACAAATGGGCAGCACACTGGACACGGGCGGGACCAGACGGAGGCATGCAGGCGACACAGATGCACGACTGGGATCATTGGCGCAGTGAGCGACAACCTCAGGGTGCCGAGCCAGCAGCACTGGACGAACACCTTCGACGGGCAGCGGTTCGTGATCTTCGGCGGCTGGAGCGTTGGGTGAAAAGGGCCCCAAAAAGACGGACACAACCACCATGGGCAGCCCCCTTGGAGCTCCTGGCCATTCTCTTGAATCCGAATCCTGAGGCTCACCCGAGGAAGGGGCATAGAGGACTCGGCGCCCCTGAAGACCCCGTGAGTGCCCCGCTTTTCCGAGCTGTTCTGGAGGACGGTCTGCTCAGAATTAGGCAATCTGGTAGGACCCCCAGCTACTGGCACCTTAGTCAGGGAATCACCCTCCCCAAGTCCAAAGAGGCTCGCACGTCGGGGGGG